ATTTCGCTGTTTTGAAGCACTGTTCTGTTTCGTTTCACTGACACCGTGTTGCTGGTTTGTCACTGTTTCAGTGTTTTTGCCCACAGGCTCTAATGGGGAATCACAAAAATGGCTATAACTTTGTCATTTCTTGCCTGATTCAGATGAAAACAGCAAGGATGGTAGGCCATGAAGCCTGTCACGTTTCAAGGAGATAGGTGCAGGGGTTTCTGGGAATCTGCACCTCAGACTGTTCAGAGCAAAACTCATGACATGTGTGACTCTGTGTGTGTGTGTTAAGGCAGAGCAGGATGAAAACAGCAAGGATATTAGCCCCTTCTGAGGCCATGAAGCCTGCCAGCTTTCAAGGAGATACATACAGGGATTTCTGGGAAACTGCATTTTGTCATGAAGTGGGGTCCCTAGAGATGGCTGTGATACCCCAAGGGCCCTGTGACCGTGCCAGCTCCACCCTGTGAGCGCCTTCTCTTCTCATCGGCCGCCACATTGTGTTGGAAAAGATAATACATAAGCCTTCGAGCTTCAGCTCAGTTACAGCCCTAATGGACCCCACTAAACCCTGTAGGTTCTTGGACCCCTTGCTGGGACCCACTCTAATTAGGTGCCTCAAGTGCCTTCTGGGGAAGGATACCTGGCTCTGGGGGAAACATGAGGTGTGTGGAGCACAAACTCAGATGATTCCACCTCCTTCTCCAGAATTTCCATTGCTATGGCACTCAGATCCAGATCCAGCTCTTCCTCTGGCACTGGAAGGCTCAGGCTGGAAATTGAAATTGGGGTGAAGGAGACTCTAATGCTGGTGCTGCTTGTTGTTGTCATGGTGGTGGTGCTTGGGGTTGTTATTATGGCAGGTGTTATTGGAAGGGATGCAGATACTGCTCCCATCTCCTTGGTACCACTAGCAGCAGAAGCAGCATGGCTGCTAGTTGTTGGAAAGAGGCTGCGTCTAAATTTTTTTTTGTGTGAGGAGGACTTAGAGCTCCCCCTCTGCCCTCTCTTCTGCCCTGGCCAGAAGAGTGGCCACCTGTCTTTCCAGCATGCTTCATGTTTGGTGTAAAATGTGTGTGTGTTTCTGTAATGTAATGTATGTATTTATGTTATATATAAATATATGCTCTGTAATATATGTTGTGCTTTCCTGCACAGTCAATGCAGACTGTCATGGAAAACACAGATTTCTTTTATGTGCAGAAAGAATTACAGAGAATAACAAAAACAAAAAGAGGATTTTGGAGGAGGAATAAATTGAAAGGAATGGATTAGAAAAGGGTATTAGGGTGTTTCAGAAATGATTGGATCCCACTTGTTAGGAACAGACTAGCAAGGAACAGACTAACAAGTAGGAAGTGAGAGCCTTCCTGATGCTGCTGGAGGACACAGCCCAGTAAGCTGACAAAGGCACAGCTGACAAAGCTCATTTCAAACAATGCTTTTATGTTCCTCTGGCCCTCCCCCAGAGCACTGGGATTGGAAAGGACCTCAGGGAAGGATCACAGTCACTGGCCAGCTATAGATATCAGAGCAGACCTTCCCCCTTCTTCCCCCTCCCTCTCCTTACTTTGTATTTCCCTGCAAGCCTGGCTTCGAAACTCTTCAAAATGTTTTAAATGTTTCAAGTGCCCTTGTTTCATTGCGAAGCTATTTCAAAGCCTTGTGTTTTGTTTCAGTTTCGGTGTTTCGAGCTCAAAATGTATTTGAAACAAAATGTCTGTCAAAATTTTGCACAGCCCTAATGTTCATCAATGATTTGGATTCGTGTATTAAAAGTATACTAGAAAAGTTCACGGACAACACCAAATTATGAGGAAGTGCGGTCACACTCGTTGACAGGCTGGTGATACAGGCTGACCCCAACAGATTTGTGAGGTAGGCGGATCATAACCTGATGGTGTTTAACATAGAGATTATTTCTCCTCAGATTATTGCTCCATCTGAGAAGAAATAATCTGCAACACAATTACAGGCTCAGCAGTACTATTCTTGCCAGCACCACAACTGAAAGAGACCTGGAGGTCATGATAGACTAGAGAATGAATATGAGCCACCAATGCAATGCCATAGCTGGCAGACTAAATCAAACGCTGGCATGCATCTACTGATGCATCTCAAGCAAGACTAAGGATGTCATTTTTCCACTCTACTTGGCCTTGGTGAGACCGCAGCTGGAGTACTGCATCCAGTTCTGGGTGCTGCACTTCAGGAAAGAGATGGAGAAGATTGAAAGAGTCCAAAGGAGGGCCACACGCATGATTAGCGGTCTGGAGAGCAGGTCATATGAGGAGAGGCTGAAAGACATGGGACTGTTCAGCCTGGAGAAGAGAAGACTTAGAGGGGACTTGGTGGAAGTCTATATTAGGGACATACATCAGGTCTGGGGGAGCATCTGTTCACCAAGGCACCCCAGGGGAAGACAAGAAACAATGGGCACAAACTGATTGAAGATCACTTCAGACAGGGCATAAGGAAAAACTTCTTTACAATTCAAGAAGGATGTTGATAGAATCAAGAGGCTCCAGAGGAGGCCACTCATATGGTTAGGGGCCTGCAGGCAAGGCCCTATGAGGAGAGACTGAGGGACCTGGAGTTCTTCAGCCTCTGCAAGAGAAGGCTGACAGGGGATCTTGTGGCTGCCTACAAATTCATTAGGAGACGCAGCAAGGGATCAGAGATGCTCTGGTAACCAGGGCACCTCTTGGGGTAACAAGAAACTGCTCGCAAACTGACAGAGATCAGATTTGGGCTAGATATCAGGAAAAACGCCTTCACAGTAAGGGTTGCCAAAATTTGGACTGAGCTCCCAAGGGAGGTGGTGCTCTCTCCCACCTTGGGGGTCTTTAAGAGAAGGCTGGATAGGCACCTGGCTGGGGGCACCTGGCCCAGTGCTCTTTCCTGCCCAGGCAGGGGGTCGGACTAGATGATCTGTTGAGGTCCCTTCTGACCCTAGCATCTATGAATCTGTGAATCAAACACCGAGGGTCTGAAACACACTCCCTCCAGAGGTGGTACAGTCACTTACCCTGGCCATCTTCAAAAAGTGTCTTGACGCCCACCTGGCTGGGGTCATCTGGTCCCAGCAGTCTTTCTTGTCCAGGTGCAGGGGGGCTGGACCTAATGATCTTGTAAGGTCCCCTCCAGCCACTAACATCTTTGAATCTATGAAACTTTAATATTTCTCTGAAGTCAGGCAAAAGGCAGGGCACCTTATAGACTAATTTATTTAAGGTGGCGCCCTGCCCTGCATTCTGCCAATCTTCAGCAGCTAACTAGCTCTCTCAACTCATTAATGACACCACGCTCAACCAGATGATATGGACTGCAATAATTTTTTAATGAATTAATGTCACTCTGCCTGGCTTTTTAGCCTTTTTAGTTAATCCTATAAATCAGTATTTTTGTTGTTAAACCATTTCTGTGCCAGAGGTATAGCTGTCAAAAATGGTATACTGTGAATGATATCCCTGAAGTGCTTACTGCCTTTTATTTTAAGCAAGACAATTCTATTTAAACATATGCCTTTAGTATCGCCAGCGGTGAGGAAAATAGAAGTACAGTGCATTACAATTATATAGATTCTGTTGCACTCAGTTGCATAATATTGTATCCTTGTACCTGATATGCCAAGAGATATTTAATTACTTACCCCTCAATCAAACAAACAAAGAAATATTATTCATATTCATAGAGAAACATCCATGAAGTAATTCACTTGCATTCTCTTTTCAGAGCAAAACTATTGAAGTGTAGCTCCTTACAATATATGGCTAAAATATACAGGGGTATGCAAACATATGACTTGATGTTTTACAGTCAACCACGATAACACATAGATAGATGCTTTAATAATACTTCAAAAATTCTGCCTGTTAAAGCATAACGAAATGCATGAAAAAGCTGTTTTAGTATTGCAAAAATAAATGCATATTTAATTTAGTAATTTGAAGCCAAAATGTAATAACTATTTTCTTCTTCATTCTTTGATTTTTGCAGGAAAGAAATAACTATTAACAACGTGATTACCATTAGTGATATCTTTATTACTATATTATGGCTTTGCCAGAGGCTTTTTATGTAGCTAAATCTTACAGTTCAGAAAAGACAGGAGTGGCAGAAAGATTTGATTTTGCCAAATGCTCTCAAATGTTACCAAATAACATTGGTTTAAAACAACATAATTCTCCATATGATGAAAGAAGTGTATTACTTTAATAATTATGAGCCTTTATTAACTCTTACTATCATTATAAAGTATTAAATACATTGCACCTGCTCTCTCTCTCTCCCTCAGACCAGAGACTGCCTGGTGTGTGACATTGGCATATCCCTTGTTCTGGGCTCAGTACTGTGAGACACTGGGCACATCTACATGAGATGCTACATTCTTCTCTTTCCTATTCATCACATTCCGACCCAGTCTGATTCTGCTGCTTTCCTTTTCCCCTATAAGTTATAAAATTTGATTTTAAATCCTGTTTCTCTGAGACCTAATCAACTACTTCTTTTTATAGCTGATTTCATGTGTTCTGTTTCAACTTGGTACCTACCAAGTCCATTATTAAGAAAACTCAATAGGAACATCAGTCTGTACTGATCTTGTCATCTTCCGATGGCATTGCATGTTTTGGGGATTACCAAAACAGAAATAGTAGAATCCTGTAGGAACAATTCCTTTGAATTGGGGAAACTCTAGTATTTTAATACAGTCTTTTTCATAACAGAGATTTCAGTCTTGCTGAGAACACTGCAATGAATTTATTGGATTCATAAACCCCAATAGTTTTGGTTCTTGTTTGGTTTAAGGGCAAACTTTTGTGTTGCTTCTTTTCTGCTCAATCACTACAAGCCAATCATTATTTTGCATTGTTTTAGTTTTGTATGGAAGTCTGTAAGGGTGCTGAACATCTTTTGTGAAGTGTTGACTGTCCTCAGGTTTCATGGCGAGAATTAGGGGTTTTGTATTTCAATAGCATTTCTTAATGACTTCATATTTATCTTTGCCCTAGGTGATGCAGATGTATCTCCCATTCTGTGGAATTGCCATATCTAATGCCCAGCTATTTGCTGCTTCAAGAAAGGAATATGACAGAAGCAGAGTAAGTAGAAAGCAGCACCTTGGACAGCTATGAAACACTGTCACATCATTTTTCCTCTCAAATTCTAGCTATGCATAAATGTTTGCAAAACAGGCTGTTTTAATGAAACAAACATGTTATAATTCAAAATAATCCAAACACTTTTACTATAGAAGATACATTTTCTTTGGATATTAAGTTTAGAAAGGAATAACTAAATATGCTGTTGTTGAAAACTATTATTGCATGTTGTCAGTTTCATGTTGTTGTTTTGTTGATATGGGTGTTTACAATACGAAAGACTTACATTTCCATTAATCCAAAACTTTTTTAAATTTCCAAAATATCAAACATCTAGCATCTAGGATTTATAATAAACCTACAAAATAAGGCTGATAAGTATCTATGAAAATGGGTATTCACAAGTACCCAAGTACTTATTAGAGTTTATCTAGAGGGATGTATAACTCATGTTTGGGGCCACCATTGGAGAGTTAATGCAAGTTATTCCAGAGGCTTAAAACTGTAACTTTTAAAACTCACCATCATGTAGCTTGTACATTTTCTTAAATAAAAATTGCCATGGAAATGCTCTAAAGAGTTCACATTTATTGTATTGGTACTATGTTTTGTTTTGATTTTTTAATCTGCCTTTTTGTGAAGGTGGATCTTTGTTACCTTGGATCAGATCATCCTTTGACTTTAGTGAGGCCAAGATTTTGCACCATGTATTCTCCAGCTACACTTGCTTTGTAGAAGTCAGAATGAATAGGTCTCATAAACTTCTAAAAATTGCCTTAACTGCGGGCTTCTTGTGATCTGGACCTTTGGATCCAACCCACTAGGCCAGAAATTTGGTGCTTGCGCCAGCACCAGGGGGGATTAAAGCTGCTGCCGCTCACTCTACTACAAGAGGTTGGTCATCTTGTCCACAAGAAGCCCTGTGGGCCAGATCCAGCCTGTGGGGCAAATGAGTCTGACACCCTTGCTATATGTTATAACATAATTTTAAAATTTGCTTACCTCATTATTTGCCATGATTTAAAAACTTATGTTTTATGTCCCAGTTGAAACATTAGGAGTCTCCCCTTCCCCATAGTTTTGAGCTCTAGTCTATAATTTGGAGGGTCATGATAAGGGATATGGGCTTTCCATTTCTAATAGAAAATCAGGAAAAAAAAATGCAGATTATCCCTTTTATCCAAAAAAAATGCAGATTTTTCATTTTAATGGAGAAACACACGGATTTTGCAGTTTTGCAAAGAACTCTTTACAGGCTGGCAGAGTTTCATCCTCCAAGAGGCTGGGGGGAATAGGAGGAGGGTGGTCAGACAGGGGGCGCCATGTGCATGTATATGCACATAGCTACCAGGCAGCCTGGGGAGAAGCTCTCACAGGTAAGTCTGGCGAGGGAGGAGTGGGGATTGAGGCCCCCATAGGGAGGGAGGGAGGGAGGGAGTTGAGCAGGCCTGGGG